CCAAAGGAGCGAAAAGCACACCATCCTAGGTAAGCAGCATCTTTGAAGCGGCATCTCACTCAATATACGCAACTATCAGATTTGTCTTTTCCGGCCGATTTTGTGCCACTCTACTTTGGACCCTCTTGTAGGAGCTCGAACTGAGTCTAATTTAGGTCCATCCGAGGGTTTTCCTTTTCCTTCTGCACTTCTTCACTTTTCTGCTTTTTGGATGGGTGCTCTCCCCCGAGTGAAGGCATAAGCCGTAGCCGTAGACAGTCACTAGCACTAGTTTGATCGCTATGCCATTCTTGGAAATGATGTGGTGATAACTGATCGACGAGTTGCTTTGGTCTACCTTGTTGAATCATTTACATTGATTGAGGACTCGATGTCAGAATGCATTCTTCGATACCCTGTTGTAGAAGTTTTCATCTAGTTCCTGTAGCTAGTCGTAGATGCATATTATAGCTGCTATCGGATCTGAGGTTCGGGGGATTTTGAACTATATTATTTAAAAATATATATAAATTTAATTCCTGTTGGATCTCTTGCTTTCAAGTTCTCTTAGTTTATATGTAACTCAATCAGGACGTAGATGTAGATACGGATAGGGGTAAACCGGGTAACCAATCCCGGTGGCTGGATGACTCCTTCACCCTTAGATCGCAAGACTAAGGCCAACGAGGCGGAACCTCGGTGGCGTGATATGATGGTTCTCACTAGGGTCAGTCCTATCACAAAATTAGAGTTTATAACCTCACTCTGCTTGGTAAGGCAGAGCCCTATGTTAGTCAAATAGGCACCCCCCGGTTTCTTAGTGAAACTCATCAAGGTGAGGTTTGGTGGGCTAGCTTATAGCTATTCTATCACTCAGGGATCCCGAATGGGGCAACTGGGGGTGACGCGGAAGCCACCCGGGTGGGGTAAGATATGATATCAAGCAGCCTCATGCAGGTAACCAAACCAACGTAGGAAGCTTATCTATTTAGATGATAGGCTTCCATCTGGAAAACTTTTTTTATAAGATATCTATAGTTAGACTCATCCAATGGTGGAAGATCTTCGGCTACTAAAGTCAATGTGTAATAAGTTGATTTTAGTAGTCACTGATGGTCTAACCTAACCAAGGAGCTATGTATTGGAGCATACCTCTTTGCCAAGCAGGTAGTTTGAATCGCCGGTCAGGCGCTCTATTTACTACTTTATATCTAAAGTAGTGCGCAGTAGCATTTCAACAGGCGTACGGTGGGATTACCCCGTATGATATTCATACTAAATTATCTGTACCCGTATCACTCACTAGATCAGGTTACCCTAGGATCATACCATCCTTTCATAGACAACAAATCTATATATAAAAGGGATGAGAAAGCTGATATGCTAGTTAAACTCTACTTATCGTTCTTTAGTTTATCTAGAGCAATTAAGTTAGCAAAACAGATTTATCCGTCTTTGTTTGCTAGCATAACTGATCCTATGTATGACGTTCACAAATTTTAAGAAGTCAGAGATTGGCTACGGGGGTTAATACGTAAACTAGCCAATCGATACCTATATCAAGCCCTCTCGCGCCCCTTTACCAGGGAATCTTGTGGGAACCGACTTGGAAGGCTCTGCCAACGGATCGTAAGCGACCTGGTCAGTCTCGCCGTGAAAGAGGCATATTTGCCAATTTTACATCATAGTGACTCTGGTTCGCTATGCTTTGTTTATCGATGTCTATTAACCCTGCATTAGCATTAGGAATGATGCAGAAGTTTACATCGAAAGGATCAACAACCTTTTCTATGGTCATCCATTACCACCTCGTGATGAATGGGATGATTGGCTATCCAATATATCAGCCAATAGTTCTGTTACAATTAAAAAATGTATTCTGATGGAGTTTGACAGTACTGGTGACTTGTTTTGCTATCCTGGCGGGTTCTTGCATTCAGTTGAGTCTGGTGCGGGGAAGAGGAGGGTGTTTGCCATAGGAAACTATGTCAATCAGAGGCTTCTCCGACCTCTCCAGCCCCGGAATGAGGCTATTTTCCTTCTCTACGACCACAGACTGAAGTTAGAAGATCCACCGGAGATAGTCCTTTCTTTGACCTACCTTGACTTTAGTGGGTCTAAGAATCCACGGAGGGATAAGTCTGCTAGTGACCAAGCATCGAGTCAAGATAGGAGCAACCCCCCATTCAAACCAACCTATAAAACAAGTTTTCACTAGGTTTTATCTGGAAGGCGGGAAGAGCTCTATTGGAGCATTTGGGCGGGAAGCCCTACAATAATGGGATCTGTTACTTGACTTGTGAAGCCCTGTGCTCGAAGCAAAATAATATTACTTTCACAAAGAAAGTGACCAAAGATATATTAAAAACTTAGAAAGAAAAAGGCGCAGAACATTGTAGGAGTTCCTGGAAGTCAGTCAACTCTTGCCGATAGTCGGGCAATCAATCCATCCTTCGTCTCGGGCACAAAATAGGTACTCTTGTACTGGAAAAGAGAAGGACACAATGCCTTTCTTTTACTT